TCCTCTGCTCCCCCCCGCCCCGCCCAGGGGCCAGAGCAGAAAGGCCTACAGAAGTCCTGGTCACCACTTAGAGCAGTTACTTATTATAAAAACCAGCGACTATTCTCTCCCCCGAGAGCTCTCAGTAGCTGCAGACATAACCAACCTGAAAGGGTAGCGAGTATAGCTAATATCGCTCCAAGCTCCTTTCCATCCAGCAGTGCCATGGCATTTTTCAAGCATTATATTCCTCTAAAGTCAGAACTATCTCCACGTTACAACTGGGTAATTTGAGAACCTGACTGATAGACTCCCCAAGGTTGCAAAGAGTTTAACGGTAAGATGTAAAAAAAAAAAAATTGAAACCTGGACTCCAACCTCTTCAACCATCTCTGTATGTGCACATATACTCTATTTTTTTTAATGTGACCCTTAAGTCTTGATAATAAATATGACACTTACAGATTATCTAGCTCAGTAGTGCTCCAGTAAGAACTAGAGGAGGAGTGATAGCGCCATCGAGTGATTCCAATCACTCAGAAATGCCAGGAAATGCCACAAGTCCCAGAGGCTAGGAAGCTTATGGCATTGCTACATTACATAACAATTTATTTCAACATATTTCACTCCCATCTTCATTCTCTCTGGGAAGTGGAGCTGCTGGATGGCTTTCAAAGGCTGTTCTCATTCCTCTGCAACCTGATGCTCATTTACTGACACCGGAGGTATGTTACTAGAGAGTAGAAGTCACTTCTTCAGAACTCAAGCTGCGAGTCCATCTCCAATCACTGGGCCTTCCCCTAACAAGCGTGATGGGCGGTGATGGCCAAGCCAGAGGTCAGACCGGCAGATGGAATTACACACCAAGAGAACTGTCTCAAGAGGTACTCCAGAGAATGTGTCGTCGCCACTCGGTCTACTTTTAGACATTGCTCCATCTCTGACACACTGCGCTTGGTCTGCTCAGACAGAGCCACAGGCAGGATGTGGGCAAGTACCTGAGCCCACCTGCCCTGAGTACAGAAATGGCTCTGGAGCTGGACTGCTGAGGTCAAATTCTGATTCAGTCACTGAGGGCTTTGCAACCTTTGTTTAAGTTCTTCGTGCCCCCGGTTCCTCATCTGTCAAGTGAGAACCGTCCTCATTAGGGTGTTGAGGACAAAATGAGATAACACACATCTGAAGAGCTTAAAACACCTAGGCCGGGCAGACAGTAAGTGTTTGATAAATGTTAGCTATTATTATTATTAAATAACATGGGGACAGAGGAGGGAATCGCACTACATTCGTTCTGCCTACTCTGTTTCAATCTACCTATTTGAAGTTACTTTGATTTGCTTTAACATGAAATTATGATGTCTTTTGAAAGCATCTGCTCTGTACAACATGAAGCATAGTTAATGATTTCTATGTAAAAAAACACCAAGGGCCGGCCGAGTGGTGCGATGGTTGAGAGCTCGCTTGGGATGCCAGAGGGTCCCGGTTCGGATCCCACATATGAGGGCCAGTGACACTGCCCTCTGCAGCTAAGATGCTGAACAACAGCTCAACCTGGAGCTGGGCTGCCGTGAGTCGCCGGCGACGGCGTAGGCTGCAGTCCCTGTGGCAGTGGGTTGCCATGGGCTACCGTATGTAGCCAGCAGCCAGCGTGAGCGGCCAGCAGCCGCAGTGAGCGGCCGTCCAGAAGCCAGCGACTGATCTGCCTCACCCAGGAAGAGCATAGTGATGGTGCCAACTTGGGCCAGTGAAGCAACGTCCTCCACAACTAGACTGAAGAACAAAACGACAGCAACTTGTCTGTTCCCCTTCCCCCAATTCCCCAGCACTGTTCCCATCCCCCCAATTCCCCAATAAAAATCTTTACCAAAAAAAAAAAAACACCAAAAAGGCCAATGTTGATGCTCCTTTGGGAAAAAGCTTCCAACTCAAGGTCAAGGCTGCTGTCCAGTGCTTCAGGAAGAGCTCCGCCATTCACAGGCTCACAGAGAGATGTAAACAAGGCAATTAAATTGGGAAAGTCTGTCAGCCAGCAGAAGCCTCAAAATGAACCTAAAGAAGCATTGACTTGTTTAAAAATCACCTTTATGGCCTGAAAAAGGTCAAAATGTAAAAAAACAAAACAAAACAAAAAGCCAACCAAACCTAAAAACCATTCTGACACCAGAGAAAAGAAAAAAGAAAGGAAAGAACTGATATAAACGGCAAGTTCATGGACCAAGAAAGGGCCATTCCCAAGTGTGAGCTGACTTCAGTGAGCGAGGAAAAATTCTTACCTGGCTCTGCCAGAGAAAAAAGATCTTTCTACTCTAATTGCTAACGTAGCCTCAGCGAAATCAAAGAGCAGGCATTTGACAAGTATTATCTGGCATAACTTAATTTGAAGCAGACAGGAGTTGGTATTTTGAAAAGTACCTACTACTGGGCAAATTAGAAGACGAGGGTCACTCCAGAGAGAAAAGAAGAAAACAAGACATCCAACAACAACAAATAAGCTTTGCAACTAAAGCTCAAGATGGAAGACATCACCAGATTAATCTTCCAGGAAAAAAAAAAAAAGAAAACCAACCAATTATCTGCCTAAAATTGTCAACATTCCCCATAGCCAAAAGAAGAAAGTAAAAAACCTCTCAAGGGAAGGGAGCCCCCGCCCACCTTTCCAATCGTTTTCGCCATCTGGAAACATCCACTCCAGCCAGACTGGTTTCCTTGTTTGTTCCAGAGAGGAACAGGCCATGCTCATTTCAGCTTTGTATCCCCAGCGCCTATCATAGTACCTGGCACACGCTGTTTGCTCAATAAGTGTTGGCTGATTCAACAAAAACGGGAATGCTTTTAGGCCTGTGCCTCACTCCCAGAAAGCCCCTTTCCCACTGGGCTGGTGAAAACCCAGCCACTCTCCAAAGCCTGGATGAACGCCCCCCACCTCTTCTCAACTCCAGCAACAAGGCAATCCGCCCTCGCCATTCCCCAACCCCGGTCTCAGTTCGTACAGAATCCAATGACTTCAGAACTTTCTTGCTATTTAGACATTTCCCGGGCATATGTTTTGTCTGCCCCACTAAACTGAGAGTTTCTAGAGAAAGGTAGGATATTTTGAAGCAATGAGAAGCAGTGGAAAGAAGGGTTATTGGTCTGTGGCCTGGAGGACCTAGTTATGTGACTTTGGGAAATTTGTATATAAAAGTCTTATTAGAACAGTGCCTGGCACATAGTATGTATTTTGTAAATGCTATTACCATGCTTCATCTCTCGAACCTCAGCTCTCTCATTTATAAAATGGGATTAGTAACAAATCCTCCAAGAAAAAAAAAAGAAACCGAAAAACAGAAGAAAAGCAAAACAAAACAAAACAAACACAAAAAGAAAAAAAGGAACAAAAAAAGAAAAAGAACACTAAATCCTCTGTCAGGTGGGTCTTTACAAAGATTAGAAATAATGTCTGAACGGTCTCTAGGACCTACCTTAGCATGCAGTAGCCACTCAATAGCCACATGGCAGCTATTACTACAAAGCCTCATGCTGGGTGCAGAGAAAATGCTTCATAAAAGTTTATGGAATGAGTTGAATGAACTGAGAGAGACATAGTCTAATATCAACTCAGATATCAAGGGAAACTTCCCAGCTATTCATTCAACAAATCTCTATTAAGGACTATCATTATGGACCAGGCTTTGTTCTGGATGCTGGGGAGCAACAGTAAAAATACTGTTTATATTTATATTCCAGAGGGGAAGGCAGTTAACAAACAGAGGGCGAGACAGAGACATAAAAGCTTATATGGTATAAGATGCTGTGAAGCAGAAAAAAGCAAGAGAGGGCTGGGAAAAGGCTGTCTGCAGAGGTGGCATTTGGGCAGAGACCTGAATCGTAGGGAGATCAGGATTTTGTGAGATGCCCTCACCCTCGGGCAGACCCTGGTAGCCTTTCCATAGCTCAGCCTCTAGTGCCAGGAAACCCAGCTCCACCAGCGAGGGGGCCGTCTGGCTGCCAGGGCCCCTGTCAACTCAGACCAAGCTACAAACACTGCTGAACTAGAGATTACAAACTTATTTGTATGACTGAAGTGGCTACTTAGCCCCATGTGGAAGTAAACAGATTACACCCATACCGCTACTGGCCTGTTCCCCAGAAAGTTCAGATCGCTGTTCTCTCCAAACAGGTAACCTTCAGGGTGAGTGGAGTCAAACTTCTCTCCTCCCATGATGAAGTGGCTGGCGAAATAGCTTCCTAGAGAGAGACAGACAGAAAGATCAAACGGAGACCGGTCAAACTAAGCCTAGTGAAGGTGCCGATTTGAAAAAATGTTAGTCCTTGAAACAATTAGGACAATTTCTCACCCCAGGAGAGCTTTCTTCTCTTGATGTGGGACAATGGTGCAAAATACATAAAATCAAAGCAGTGAGTACCCAAGATGCCAAACATAAAATAGATCACTGCTTTCCTCTTAATATTCTTGATCGAATCTTTACTGTGATCTGTCTCTAATACTATCAGCCAAGATACCAGAAGGCCCCACAATGCACATTAATAAATAGAAGTATGTATTGTGTTCCTGGTTTTCTTTCTTTAAACTTGAAGTGGTTATTCTCTGTCCTCTGTGTGTTCAGGAATCTTAACCACACGTATCAGCATGTGTGCACATACACACGTTTCTCTGCCTAGATTTTCATAAGCCAGCTCATACCTACACACAGGAATCTCAGCGTCACTCATACCACATGCATGCCTCCATAGTCCCCTACGGTGAAGGCTCTTCATTCTTCATATTTGCTTCAAAATGATTGTTTAAATAGGAAAATGTGAATGTAAATAATACAGCTGTCTCTGACTTGACCTACCAATTACCACACAGATTATGGAATTTAATTAGATAACCGTTGAGTGCTATGAAAGAAAGATACGCGCACACAACTCCCCATACACGCACACCCTCAATCTCAAATTCATCAACAGTGCTGATGGCCAAGGTTGCGGGGACATCAGCCATGGCAGGCCCTCTGCCTGACACTACGATAACTCAATGCAATCAGCGGTCAGGGGCAGAATCCCCACCAGCCTTATCCACACAGACTGAGGAACTGTTCCAGGATGGGATGACGCTGATAAGTCATAGAGGAGGCTCAGGTAACACTGCGAATTCCATGTGGGAATACTTTCAACAGTGACGATTAAACGGACACTTCTTCGCCCAAATTCCTACACTCTGACTCTCCCTTGAAGGTGAGCTGTCCAAAGTGGGCTCGTACCGTAATATACCTTATCACTCTCATACACCCAGGTTCTTGGGTTAATATAAACAACTTATGGTGAACGGCTTCTTTATGTGTTATACAGCAAGGCTACAGATTTAAACTCCCCACATCAGTTTCAATTTTTGTTGGAGGTTTATGGCAAACTCAAAAAAAAAATAAAAAAAAGAGAGATTCAGCACTTCTAGCCTGTGAAGAAGCCATAGGAAGGAAGACAAAGGAGAAAATTCCCACAGAAAACTGAGCCAAATATTCATTTTTGGATTTTCTACACATGGAACTCTAGTCTAAACACTTATCAATCAAAACAACGTGGATAACATCACTCACTACAAAGCGAAGCAATTCCTTAATTAAAACAACTAGCAAGAAAAGATTTGAGGGGTGCCTGGGTGGCTCAGTTGGTTAGAGCGGGTGCTCTGAGCAGCAGGGTTGCCGGTTTGATTCCTACATGGGCCAGTGAGCTGCGCCCTCCACAACTATTGATAGATTAAAGACAACGACTTGAGCTGAGCCGCAGCTGAGCTGCTGGTGGGCGGCCGGATGGCTGAGCTGGTGAGGGCGCATGCTCTTAACAATAAGGTTGCCAGCTCAACTCCCGCATGGGATGGTGGGTCGTGCCCCCCACAACTAGATTGAAAACGGCAACTGGACTTGGAGCTGAGCTTGCGCCCTCCACAACTAAGATTGAAGGACAACAACTTGACTTGGAGCTGATGGGTCCTGGAAAAAACTCATCGTTCCCCCAAAAAACACATTGTTCCCCAAAAGAGTTAAAAATAAAAAAAGATATGAGAGTAACTGCAGCCAAAATCAAAGCGATCAGAGGAATTCAACGGTTACCCATTGAAATTTAAAAACACAACGAGCAGCCATCTGCAGTGATACAATCGTGCGAATCGCCATTTAGGAAAGCTTAATGATCAATTATTTACATCCAGCACTTGCTAGGCCTATTTTCCAAGTGTATAATTTATAGAGAGGGGAGGTGCCTACACGCCTTGAGTGGAAGCAGCCATCTCAAATAATGTAAGTCATGTACTGTGGGCCCTTAGTAAAATATATTTTCTATGCATTAGACATTACAGATTTATTATACATTAGGTGAAATTCAAAAAGTTACAGATGTCACATTGCTGGATGGCTCGCCCAAACCGTGAATAAAGAATGGGAAGAAGCAGGTGTGGTGTCTATAGTTGGACAGGTGGAGCCCAGTGGGACACACTGAGTTTCCAGTACCTGTGAGCAGTCAGGTGAGGGATGTGGGGACAAATCCACCGACAGCCAGCTTACGGGATCCTAGCAAGAGAACACTAATGGCTTGGGGGGGGGGCTAAAGGGTTAAGAAGGTGACAGGGTTCTATTGGAAACGCTCCTTTTTTGCCATAATATTAAAAGAGAATACCAAGAAACCAGTGTAGAGTT